GTAATAAATCCCCCCTAATAACGAGACTACGCTCCGCATTGGTGGTCAAACAGGATCTGGCTTTACTGTGGGCTACCCGCCCGTATTTATGCAAGTCTCCCACTTGGTGGACACTCCCCTAGGGGACCAAATGGGAGACTGTAATTACAGATGGACATGGGGACATTACAGACATACAGTTACAAACTTTTCCCACAATGCAATATGGTTTCCTCCCCTCTGCCCTGGAGATAATTGAGAAGTAATTCAATTATCTCCAGGACAAAGACAAATCGCCATCTTAAATAAAATACCAGAAAACACACAAAAATATATAATTTCACAATCATCGAACACTCTGCATTCGTATCACATATCCCCAGATAGCCTGGATCTGAGTGCATATTATAAGCGAATAGCGCTCAGATCCCATACGCATAGTTCAATCGCCATGGAGTCAAAGTTCTTACAGTCTTTCGGTATGCGATTGACTCCATGGAAAGGCTATCTGGGTTAAGTCTTTTCGTTTGATTCCAAACTCCCGAACGGCCGGTGTTCGCATGCTTTCGTCGATGGAGCAGGGCGACCCGTTGTTTCAGCGGTGTTCGGCAGAAAAAGTGTCCGTTTTTAGTTCCATGAAATCAATGCAAAACACTGCTGGTCTTTCGTGCAAGCTAAAATGGCCGCTGCCTCGTGGTCGACATGCGAATGACGGCCACCCTGTATTCGGTTTTAATTGAGAAGTGTCTGCGGTTAACCACAACATTCTAATTGGGATCAAGAGGTTAACCAGCAGCACACTTCTATCCTGGGTGGCCATCCATTCGGTAGGTTTGTTCGGTAAAATGGGTCATTCGTATGCATGGGCTATGGAAACAGCCATTTACATGAAAGGAAGGCAAAATAGAATCCACCACGAATAGGCATACAGATGGTTCAGAGGCCAGAGCACACGAGATGAACTTAAACCCACCCCAGCAAAACCCCGTGGCAGGGATGGTAGTGGACCTGGCAGAAAGGGCTGGGAAGCCAAAGATTCCCCATGCAGCGTTCCGATCATTCCTAGAGAATGAGAGGGGGATCGATGAGAGGCAATGTGCAATGTGCGCTTCATCGTATACACAGCGAGGATTGGCCCACTATCCTGACGGGAAGCTATCAGGCCGAGCCCTAGATGCATTTCGGACACTGTCTACCTAGTAAAGATACATTATTACAAAGGTATGCAGTAACCCCAGATACGTATCGTAGGCAATTCAGGAGCACGGAAAAGAAGCCGAACGATATGCATACCGAATTGGCTCATCGGATGAGGAGAGCAACCGATCACTGGATGAAAGGGTGCCGAGCCATAACGGGTGAGGAAGTATTACAATTATTTATTTTAGAGCATTTCTACAATGGGGTAGATCAACAATGCCACTACCCTCACGGAGGCAGCTACGCTAGCTAACGAACATTGTGACTCACGACTGCATGAAAGTAACAACTACCGGCCAACGATTCGTACGGAAAACCGAGAAACCTACCGAACGCCGGCACGACCGGACTTCAGGGCTCCCGTACCCACAGGACCTACTTGGCAGCTGGAAACACCAGGTGGCCATACTACCGAACACCCACGACCAACCTGTTACTGGTGCAAACAACCGGGACATCTCATGGCAAGTTGCCCCCTCAACAACCACCATCAAACCCCCAGGACTTATAATAATTCCATGGATAGTCCCGGCCCGCCACGGCTCTATGTGTTAACCAAGAGGGTCCCATGGAAGAATACCTGGGACCTCTCCATGAGGCTGACCCCGTATATGCTGCCTCCGACAACCGCCAACATCACAGGCAAAAAGTATGGCTCGAGGGTCACTCCACTGAGGGACTGAGAGACACTGGAGCTACCATAACTTTAGTTTAGAGCCACTTGGTACCAGAGCACAAGCGCTCCGGACAAACCTTTTCCGTTCGAGTGGCTGGGGGAGACGTATACAAAATCCCGACCGCCAAGGTCCATTTGGATTGGGGGGCGGGAAAAGGCACTGTGAACGTCGGGATTATGGATAATTTACCAGCAGAGGTACTATTGGGCAATAATCTGGGACCGATGACCTCGGCTTACGCACCAGCGTAACTCCGAGGCTCACCCGGTGACTACCCAAGCACAAGCCAGGAATCAGCCTGATCTTTCACCAGTGCGGGAACCACAGGTAAGACTCACTCCGAACCTGATTGCCCCGTCAGACCCCATACCCTGGGATACTCCCGCCACCTTTGAACACGAATCCAAATCTGACCCGACCTTGCAAAAGTATAGGGGAAAAAATGACTCTGGAGGGGCGGGGGGCTAGATAACGAGACATTTAGATGGGAGAAAGGGAAACTGTACCGGTTAACCGAAAAGAAGGGAAAACATAGACGACAATGGTAGTCCCGTACAAATATCGGCAGGAGATACTCAGGATAGGACATGATATTCCCTTAGCAGGACACCTGGCCGTAACCCGCACCCTTCGCCGTATTACCCATACCTTCTTCTGGCCTGGGGTTCACGTAGATGTGCGGACCCATTGCAGCACATGCGATGTGTGTCAACGCATAGGAAGGAGGGGAGACCATCCTAAGGCACACTTAATGAATATGCCCATTAAAGAAGAGCCATTCAGCCGGGTTGCTATTGATTTAGTGGGGCCACTGGCTACCCCTAGTCCCTCCGGTAAATGGTGTATTCTGACCGTAATGGACTACGCTACCAGGTATCCTGAAGTGGTGGCTCTACCTAACATTCAGGCAGACGCTATAGCTAACGCGTTAGTGCAGGTCTTCTCTCGGGTGGGGTTTCCCAAGGAAATCCTATCCGACTGAGGCACTCAGTTTACTGCCGAATTAACCCAGCAGCTCTGGCATGTGTGTAAGGTTAAATAGCTTCTCAGCACCCCCTATCATCCCCAGACGAACGGGCTCTGTGAGAGGTTCAATGGGACCCTTAAACAGATGCTAAGAACCTTCGCTTAGGAGTATAGGGATTGGGAACGTTTCCTACCGCACCTCCTGTTCGCATACAGGGAGGTCCCCCAGGAAACTACAGGGTTCTCTCCCTTCGAGCTGCTATACGGACGCCAGGTAAGGGGACCCCTAAACCTGATCCGAGAGCACTGGCAGTGGGAGACCGAGAATGCCGGGGTCCCCATCGTACCATACGTGCTGGAGCTAAGAGACCGAATGGAGCAATTAGCCAGGTCGGTCCAGGCTAATCTCCAGTCGGCTCAGCGGAGACAGAAAGTATGGTATGACCCGGGCACCCGAACCAGGAGCTTCACCATAGGACAGAAGGTGCTGGTTCTTAAACCCATCAAGGCAGACAAACTACAAGCTGCCTGGCAAGGGCCGTACCAGATAATAGAAAAGAAGGGGGACACTACCTATATCATAGCTAGTTGCCATGCATGTTTATTGCATGTTTCTAAGTAAAGTGCTCTTGTTAATGCTCTTGTTAATGCTCCCGTTTTGGCTGCCCCAGCCCCTAACAAACGTTTCATTTTCCACACAGACGCTTCCATGTTCGGCTGAGGGCAGTCCTCAGCCAAGTAGGAGACGATGGAGGGGAGCACCCGATTGCCTACATCAGCCGAAAGCTCCTACCACGCGAGGTCAGTTATGCCGCGGTGGAAAAGGAGTGTTTGGCCCTGGTGTGGGCACTAAAGAAACTGACTCCCTACCTATATGGACAAGAATTCACATTGGTAACCGATCATAACCCGCTGGTGTGGTTAAATCGGGTCTCTGGGGACAACGGCAGGCTCTTATGTTGGAGCTTATCCTTACAACCCTTTAATTTTACCATCACCTACCGACCTGGAAAACAGAACGGTAATGCAGACGGGTTATCTCGACATACAGATCTCAGTCCAGCATAACCCACCAGTCTGGACAGCCTTAGTCTGCCCCGACGAGGGGTCGGACGGTGTCTGCCAGAGTGTTCCACTAGGATGGAGCACTGTTACGGACACTCCACAGACCCGTATTGGATTACCCTATGTTAAGTTACCGAAGTCGGTTCTTTCGGTATTATTGTTACCTATACTCCATTTACACGAACAACTAGGATTACATATTTGTGCATACGAACTCAGACCACCCGGCCCCTAGCGTGTGCCGCCACTTAACCCTGTTGACCTCGGAAATAACCGAATGGAGGACCACCGGGAAGCTGCGGTTCGCGGTTAACCACAACCTTAATTGACTGCCTCAGGATGGCCTCGTTCGTCGACTATTTTCACCGTATTCAAACTCCCGAACGAAGACCACCTACACCACGGCGTGTGTCTGCACTTAGAACGTTGAGGCTAATTGACCCCTTCAGGGCGATCTACGTTCGGTTCAGCGCACTTTGAAAAATTAAAATTGTTTTGGGTGCCAATGCTAAATAGTACATTTGTGGCCTGCGGTGCACTTCATATCTGAGAGTCAAATAGAACCGTCAAACACTGTGCTTACAGCGCACTTTGAAAAATTCAAATTGTTTTGGGTGCTAAATAGTACATTTGCGGCCTGCGGTGCACTACATATCTGAGAGTCAAATAGAACCGTCTAATAGTGTGCTTACAGCGCACTTTTAAAAATTCAAATTGTTTTGGGTGCTTATGCTAAATAGTACATTTGCGTCCTGCCATAGGAGTGCACAGCCTATTGCATTAGGGTGTGCACCCTAAAGCACAAACACGCCGCGTGTATATGTATATATATATATATATATATATATATATATATATATATACAGTCAGGTCCATAAATATTGGGACATCGACACAATTCTAATCTTTTTGGCTCTATACACCAACACAATGGATTTGAAATAAAATGAACAAGATGTGCTTTAACTGCAGACTTTCAGTTTTAATTTGAGGGTATTTACATACAAATCAGGAGAACGGTGTAGGAATTACAACAGTTTGTATATGTGCCTCCCACTTTTCAAGGGAGCAAAAGTAATGGGACAATTGGCTGCTCAGCCGTTCCATGGCCAAGTGTGTGTTATTCCCTCATTATCCCATTTACAAGGAGCAGATAAAAGGTCCAGAGTTCATTTCAAGTGTGCTATTTGCATTTGGAATCTGTTGCTGTCAACTCTCAATATGAGATCTAAAGAGCTGTCACTATCGGTGAAACAAGCCATCATTAGGCTGAAAGAAACAAAACAAACCCATCAGAGAGATAGCAAAAACATTAGGTGTGGCCAAATCAACTGTTTGGAACATCCTTAAAAAGAAAAAACTCACCGGTGAGCTCAGCAACACCAACAGACCCGGAAGACCACGGAAAAAAACTGTGGTGGATGACAGAAGAATTCTTTCCCTGGTGAAGAAAACACCCCTCACAACAGTTTGCCAGATTAAGAACACTCTCCAGGAGGTAGGTGTATGTGTGTCAAATTCAACAATCAAGAGAAGATTTCACCAGAGTGAATACAGAGCGTTCACCACAAGATGTAAACCATTGGTGAGCCTCAAAAACCGGAAGGCCAGATTAGAGTTTGCCAAACAACATCTAAAAAAGCCTTCACCACAACTGCCGCCTAGATGGGGGCAGGGGGAGCGGGAGACGGGGCACCTGGAGTCACCGGACACGACCCCACTGCACCCAAGCCTACCCCCTATTCACCTGTCGCAGCGGGGCAGAGGCCCAGATGGGAGCAGACACACACAGGGGATGAGACTACCCAGGGACCAGACAATGGGCAAGTTGAAAGAGCAAAGACCTAGGGGGCGGGAGTAAGTGAGTAAGCTATTAAAAGAAGGGTAAACAGACACACTCACAACCCTTGAAAAGAGAGTATAGCAAGGCCAAAAAGCACCGAAAAAAAGAAATGGAAGAAAATGACAACATGCACCACCACAGACTCACACAAGCACAAAACATAACTAACACACTCCCACATAGAGATCCACCTCATAACTCATACAGTACACACATAAACATAAACCACATAAACGCATTTACGCCTCAAACCACAGGGCCAGTCACACAAATACGACACCAAAGACTCCACCAGACAACAGATAAGACACCCAACAACCCCCCAGCAAAGACCGCATCGGATAAATGCCCCGGCAGACACAAGGACTCCTGATGTTGACAGTAAAGGGGGAGGCTAAAGAGTAAAAAACGAACCCATGTGGATACAAGACCCCACACTACACCTCTAGTGAGAAGTCCAACCTAAGGTTAACCAACACACACCACAGGGTCGACCCCCCAGATCCACCAGTGGAGATGGACACTAGCCAACACAAAAAACGAACAAACACACAACCAAGACAAGGGGGAGACACACCACACAGGAGAACAACTCACACATACAGCAGTCACTAGTAGACCACATTAAATCTGAAAATATGAATGGTAAAACTGCTATACACAGATAAAAACCACCAAACAACGCCCTATTAACGGGGCAGTAAAAGATCACAGGAGCATGACAGACTCGCCAGGATTACACTAACTAAATGTTGAAGGGACCTGCGTGTCCCGTTGTTCACAAATATTAATATAGATCTATGACGCTTAACTACCTACAGGCAAACAGGTAAAACAGGTTCTCCAGATCACATAGCGCAAGAACACTACGCTTAGTCTACACTCTAATGTAAGCTTAACCAAATCGGATCTGCGAATCCAAAAAACATGATATGGATGTATATTGGTTGACAAAAAAAAGAAAAGAAAAAAAAAGAACAAATGGAGACCTGCATGTCTCACCACTCCGTTATACAACTGCCATGTTACTTGTTTTATTTGCATTCAACTAACAATAGAAATTAAATTTAAAAAAACAAAATAAAAAAGCATTCACAGTTCTGGAACAACATCCTATGGACAGATGAGACTAAGATCAACTTGTACCAGAGTGATGGGAAGAGAAGAGTATGGAGAAGGAAAGGAACTGCTCATGATCCAAAGCATACTACATCATCAGTGAAGCATGGTGGTGGTAGTGTCATGGCGTGGGCATGTATGGCTGCCAATGGAACTGGTTCTCTTGTATTTATTGATGATGTGACTGCTGACAAAAGCAGCAGGATGAATTCTGAAGTGTTTCGGGCAAAATTATCTGCTCATATTCAGCCAAATGCTTCAGAACTCATTGGACGGCGCTTCACAGTTCAGATGGACAATGACCCGAAGTATACTGCAAAAGCAACCAAAGAGTTTTTTAAGGGAAAGAAGTGGAATGTTATGCAATGGCCAAGTCAATCACCTGACCTGAATCCGATTGAGCATGCATTTCACTTGATGAAGACAAAACTGAAGGGAAAATGCCCCAAGAACAAGCAGGAACTGAAGACAGTTGCAGTAGAGGCCTGGCAGAGCATCACCAGGGATGAAACCCAGCATCTGGTGATGCCTATGCGTTCCAGACTTCAGGCTGTAATTGACTGCAAAGGATTTGCAACCATGTATTAAAAAGTGAAAGTTTGATTTATGACTGTTAATCTGTCCCATTACATTTGGTCCCTTAAAAAGTGGAAGGCACTGTTACGACACGTACCGTCGGGTAGATGAAGCCGCCGTTTAGGCAATAATCCCCTTCTCCAGAAATGCAGTTTAAATCCAGCCGATCGCCAAACTCCCGAACGAAGTCCGCGAACACGGCAACTCCCGATCAGCCAAACAGTCGAACGCCTTCCACAGCTAGAAATAACAAAAGCGCTGTCCCAATAATAATTCCCCCCACAAACGAGACCAAGCTCCGTCTTGAGGGTCAAATGAAGATCTGTTTAATGGGGGCTACCTGCCCGGTATTTATGCAGGTCTCCACAAGGTGGACACTCCCCGAGGGGACCTTGTGGAAGACTGTAACACATATTGGACAGTAGCCAATCGCAGTGGCTTCAATAATAGCCCTTCCCATCTTGCCCATAATTCCGTCTTCTTTACCTTGGAGATAATTGGGGAAGAAACCTAATTATCTCCCAAGGTAGAGACCATCGCCATCTTAAATTACAGTAACAAAAAGACATTAAAATACATAACTACAGAAATACCGAATGCATATGGTTCGTGTAACGTATCCCCAGACAGCCTGGATCTGAGGGCATGTTTTCACCGAATAGCGCTCAGATCCGATGTATCTAGTCGAATCGCCATGGAGTCAAAGTCTTTCACCAGTCCTTCGGTATACGAATGACTCCATGGGATGGCTGTCGGGGTAAAAGTCCATACAACTGAATAAAACTCCCGAACGACCGACGTTCGCATGCCTTGTCGAAAAGGAAGGTAGGCAGCAGCTTTTCAGCGGTGTTCGGTAGTTTAAGTGTCTGTTTTTAGTTCCATACAGTTTGTACCGAACACCGCTCTGTGTTCGTATGTCCCAAAATGGCCGCTGCCTCGTGGTCGACATGCGAACGATGACCACCCATACGAATGGAATGGAGAGGTGTCTGCGGTTAACCACAACGTTCTAATTGGGGCCAAGAGGTTAACCAGCAGCACACTCCTCTCCTGGGTGGTCGTTCGTTCGGTAGTTTCAATCGGAATTTTGCAAATACACGAACGGGGGTATATGAACAGGCAATTCCGCGAACAAAGGGAAACAGACGAACCAACAATGCAGATGAATCTGTCACAGGTACATATACAAACTGTTGTAATTCCTACACCGTTCACCTGATTTGGATGTAAATACCCTCAAATTAAAGCTGAAAGTCTGCAGTTAAAGCACATCTTGTTCATTTCATTTCAAATCCAGTGTGGTGGTGTATAGAGCCAAAAAGATTAGAATTGTGTTGATGTCCCAATATTTATGGACATGAGTGTATATATAAACAAATCCAAGAGGGCTGCACTCACCTGAACATGTATTCATTATAGGGTGCTGCTGGGGCCAAAATATACAAAATACACATCTTTGATCTCCCCACCGGCCCATACTGACCCGTCAAATACTGTGCTTACAGCGCACTTTGAAAAATTTGAATCGTTTTGGGTGCTAAATAGTACATTTGCGTCCTGCGGTGCACTTCATATCTGAGAGTCAAATAGAACCGTCAAGTACTGTGCTTACAGCTCACTTTTAAAAATTCAAATTGTATCGGTTGCTAATGCTAAATAGTACATTTGCGTCCTGTGGTGCACTTCATATCTGAGAGTCAAATAGTACCGTCAAACACTGTGCTTACGGAGCACTTTGAAAAATTCTAATAGTTTTGGGTGCTAATGCTAAACAGAACATTTGCCTCCTGCGATGCACTTCATATCTGAGAGTCAAATAGAACCATCAAAAACTGTGCTTACAGCGCACTTTTAAAAATTTGAATAGTTTTGGGTGCTAAATAGTACATTTGCGTGCTGCGGTGCACTTCATATCTGAGAGTCAAATAGAACCGTCAAACACTGTGCTTACAGCGCACTTTGAAAAATTCAAATTGTTTTGGGTGCTTAATAGTACATTCAGGGGCGTATTAGCCGCGAGGCAAACAAGGCATTTGCCTTGGGCGGCATTTTTCAGGGGGCGGCAAAAAACGCCGCCCCCAAATGCCCAGGGCAAATGTCTTGTTAGCCTCGCGGCTAACAGACATTCTGGGCGCTGGGCGGCAGTGGCTGCAGCGCTGGGCGGGCGGCCGGCGAGGGAGCTCTTCCCCTGAGCGCTCTGCTCAGCTCCCTCGCGCGCCGCCAGCAGAGTGAGGCTGGGAGCCGGAAGATGACGTCATATTCCGGCTCCCAGCCTCACTCTGCTGGCGGCGCGCGAGGGAGCTGAGCAGAGCAGAGCGCTCAGGGGAAGAGCTCCCTCGCCGGCCGCCCGCCCGCCCGCCGCCCTGCAGCCACTGGACCCCAGGGAGAGGAAGAACCCCCCCCAGCATTACCAAAGGTAAGGAGGCTGGGGGGGGGTTAAATAAAAAAACAAAAAAAAACACTAGTGAGTGTGTGTATGTCTGCCTGTTAGTGTGTGTATGTTAGTGTGTGTGTATGTTAGTGTTAGTGTGTGTATGTTAGTGTGTGTGTGTGGATGTCTGTTAGTGTGTGTATGTTAGTGTGTCTGTTAGTGTGTGTGTGTGTATGTTAGTGTGTAGTGTGTTAGTGTGTGTATGTTAGTGTGTGTGTATGTTAGTGTGTGTGTCTGTTAGTGTTAGTGTGTGTGTCTGTTAGTGTTAGTGTGTATGTTAATGTTAGTGTATGTATGTTAGTGTTAGTGTGTGTGTGTGTCTGTTAGTGTGGATGTCTGTTAGTGTGGATGTCTGTTAGTGCCTGTTAGTGTGTGTGTGTGTTTGCCTGTGAGTGTGTGTGTCTGTTAGTGAGTGTGTGAGTGTGTG